GGACCCGCCTGGAGAGGAGAGAGGGGCAGTGTCGGTTCCTAAGACCATCAGAAATATGTGTTTTCCGATGGTCTTAAGCGACCCCTGTGAAAAAGTTGTTTGACCCCCAAAGGGGTCTCGACCAACAGGTTGAGAACTGCTGCTCTAAATAGAAAGCTTGATTAACGGTCTGACCTGGCGGAATGAACTCCAAATGCACTATCCCCCTCAATCAGCGGAGCTTTTATCCCGGTTTTGGGGGGTACCCCCTCATATTCATATAGTAGGGATGGGGGCCCATGCCCTATCTCCTGTAAGAAGCGAGTGAAATAAAGGGAGCCAGAGTACTTGTGAAAGTGCAAAGCTGAGAGGGCCCTGTCCAGAAGCTCCCTAAATGTAGGCAAAAGAATAAAAGGGGAGGAGCCTCTCCTACCGCTTCCACTGCCGCTCCCGCGGGTGGGGGCGCTGAGCCGGTCCTCCAGCTGCTCGCGCAGCCGGTCATTGATGCAGATGGACTCCTCCAGGCGCTGGCGCAGGTTCCGGATTTCCCCCAGGTGCTCCTCCAGCAGGGCAGCTCCTGCAGCCACCCCACGCATCAGGGGGACAAGCGGGAAATGGGGGCGTATGGTTACTATCCTATCCCGAGAAAGATGAGCCGCTACTCCCGGAACCCACAGGGGCAGTTCTGCTCTGTCCTAAAAACTCGCTGCGAGTCGGAATCCACTCACTCTCAGTGTGGGGTTTTGTTTGTTTGTTTGAGTTCAGTGAAGGGTGCGTTTGGGAGGGGGGTGGAGGGAGGCGGGGACTTGGCCAGCACCCACTCAGCAAATCCTAAGCATTGCTATCATTCTGCCAATTTCATCCTCTCGTGGGTACCCAAGGAAGACAGGCGACTTCATCTAAAGAATGCATGGGCTTTATTCCTTTACTTATTTTCATTCTTTGTGGAAGAGTGGGTGAGGTTCATAGGGCAGATCAGATTCCCATCAGCAATTCAGACGCATCTTGTTTCGGGTCACTGACTTCAACCCCACAGTGTAACATCACTCCTCCCACTTCCTCCCCGTGTCAGCGTCTCCATCCCTTTTTCGTTCCTAACCCTTCTGAACTTTTCCTGGGTAAATGCTGCCCTTTGGATCTTTAATGGGTGATTTTTCTTAAGGTGTCCGCATCTCACTAGTGTTACTGTTCTCCGGGCGGGTCTATTATTGGCTGAAAACTGAGCCACGGGGCTGAGTTCACTATTTCCAGACCTGAAGGGTGACTAAGGGCCATGGGCTCAGAGGATCCACGTGTCTCTGCCGGATCAGCAAGCCTGGTCTTGTTTTCATGAAAATATGTTCCTTATATTCTCCCAAGAATAAATACGCTTTCACTACAGGATAGCTCAAAGCGAAGCAGACACACGAGGTCTGGGCAGTGTGAGGAGGTTCCATACAGGTAAGAAACATAGCTCTAAGCTCTTGGCAGGGTCTGTCCATCACCTAAAAAGGTGTGGCTGCCTCTTGGGTGTGCCTCACTCTCTGTCTTAATGTGCTTCTCCTTACTTATCTTCTATTCTTTAGCAGGGAACAGAGTCCTTCCTTCCACCCTTCAAGAAAAACCATAACTTCAACTTACTCTATGTGGTTCATGAATGATAATCAATACTTCTCGAAACGCACTTGGGATGTGGGAAGAACCAAGAACAGTCTACACAGGTCTGGGGTGGATTTGAAGAGGAAGGCAAATGCCCTCCCCCACGGAAAGGGCATTGATGGACACAAAGAGAAGTTTGCTCCTCGCAGGTGGCATCCACTGCACCATTTTGTTTCACGCTCCGTCTTTCTCTGGAAGTTACCGCTATCTCACTAGTGGAATGAAACAGGTACTCTGGTGGTGCGGTGGTTGAGAGTTGAACTGCTGACTACCAGCTGCTCTGTGAGAGAAAGATGGGGCTTTCTCCTCCTGTGAAAAGTTACAGTCTCAGAAACTCAAAGGGAGAATTCTCCCCTGTCCTGTATGTGTGGGGGTGGGGTGAGGATGGGGAGTGGGGGTGGGGGGAGGAGGTACTTTGAGTCGGCATTGTCTTGATGACAATGCGTTTACTTTTTGGTTTGGTCTTGACCCTATCCCTGAGTGCTAGGATTGAGAGGGAAAGTTTGAATGACATTTGTGTACCTGATATATGAGAGGGCTGGGGGGGAGGGGGGAAGGTGAAAAAAAAAGTGAATTAACTTTTCAATTCCATTTTTCATGAACTTTGAGAAGTCCCCACATCCATGTGTAGGGGAGCGCTATTGTAGAAATCACCTCTCTTTCTCTAACAACTTCTATCTGACAGAAGAATGTCCCTGTGAATGTGTGTCTAACAGCACCGCTGTGGAGCATCCAGCATCACTCTGGATGATACATGTGTGATAAGTCCCTTTCATGTTACACCTACTCTGTGAGCCAGACTGGAAGGGCGTGGACTCTGACATAGATTTCTGTTCACAGGTTGTGCTTTACCTGTGGTTTTGGCGTTAAGCTGGTACAAAGAAGAACCTGAGGATAAGTCCCCAGATACACTCCCTTTCTGGGGCCTCATCATGTCCCATGAGCCACTGCTGCCCAGGTACCCAGGGTCCAGGATTGTGCCCAGGTCACTGGTGCTCCTTGGCAGAGAATGGGCCTGGGCGGGGCTAAGGTGGTGAGAAGAGTGGGCTTCCACATGGTTACTGGGCAGAGTAGCTAGGGAAGCAGGAGGGCCCGTGCAGACACCTAGACAGAAAGAAACATGAGTGAGAAACTAGCACGTGATCAGAGGGAAAGCTCAGCGGGGAAGTGTGAGATGAATAAGACCCGACAGTAAAGGCAACTGAGCATGCAAGTCAGAGATCCCGACCCACCGCAGCAACCCACGTCGACGGAGACTCAAAGCACAGGCTGCAATGTTCACCCAGTGCATTTCTTAGCATGAAACAGCAAGAGGTAGAGGATGGATAAAGAGCACAAAAGCTACTCATGTACACAAATAAAATGCCCACTCTTGGCTTCCCCTATCAGGGCTCATGATAAAGTACAGGCACATTCCAGAAGTAGAACTCACTGGCAATGTCAGGGGTCAAGAGTGTAATGGAACATACTTATAAACTGGACTATCTTGTTGCCTACATGTCCTTCCTTCTCCAAGAAGCGAAGCAGCCATTCTTCTATTTCTTCCATGGAGTTATCAGAAGAACAAGAAAGCACAAAATCTAGCTGGATAGGATCGACCCCCATTACCCCAGACATTGGGACTCTTGGCTGAGGTTAGGATGAAACTCATTGTAAGGCAAGTGCCTTGGATCTCATCCAACATGACTCAAGAAAATGTAAAATCTTATCACCTTTGTCCAAAGAATCATTGGTCACTTTCCGATGGAAGGATGAAGGGCCAGAAGATTTCTTTGGTGATTTCTAGCTCAACTTGTCATCCTATGAAATCAGGGCCCTTTCCCATAAGCCCCAGCTTGCCTGCTTCTATGCAAAAGGAAGGGCACCATTGGCAGGGATAGAGTTTAGGAGACATTTCGAGGACTGTTTTCTTCCAGGGACGATCACCAGGAGCAGCACAGTAGACAATTAGCTCCACACAAGGAAGCGAGAGTGAGATCACTAGATCCTGTAGCCACGCCACATTCTTCAGTGGGAATAATGCAACTGACACCTGATATTTTTATCTTTGTTTGTAACTGTTTCGCCAATTTGGTGGCATATGGGAATTGCTTGGGAAAATGTAAAAATAAAAAAATATTGATGCCCGGATCTCCCAAGACTTTGCCTTAATTGACATAAGGTGCAACTGGACTATTGGATATGAAAATTTTAAGCATCTAAAATGTAATAGGGATTGAATAAAGATGTGATCTTGTTCACCTTTCACATTCCCTTTAACTTTACCCCCGAATAAAGTAGAAAGAAATAAATCAGTAGCATTAGACAGCTTACTTTTTAACCATGATCATAGGAGGTCCCAAGTCTCTCAGTAACAATGATCGGTGTTCTCGTGTTCCTGTCTCCCTGACCACGCAGTACAGAGCGCATGCCCTACACCATGCAAAGACACCACACAGCGGCCTCTAGCACAGGAGACGTGAGACTCACAGTGGCCAGAGAAGCTGCCATGCCACCATCTACACAGAAACTCACTTCAGAGCAGATCAGGAGTGGCGGCAAGCAGTGGCTCCGCTAAGGCGACCAGACCTTCAGATGGCAAAAGGAAGGGCTACAATCTTCCTTACCAAGGCTTGGACCCCCCAAGATGTGGTCAATGGCTCAGACTAGATGTGACTCTATTCCACTCACATAAACAAACACCTTGTCTTTCCACAATGCTCTCCTTCCGTCCTTCCTTTTAGATAAAGGTAAGTTCACAAAATATAGATAGAAGGGGCTGGGGGCAGGGGGACACAACAACAGAGAACACTCTTGTCATTTTGGCATGGGACATATTTTTAACTATCGTGGGTTGGAAGCAGAACTGAAGAGTCTGAAGTCCCTAACAATGGCTCTTCCACGAAGAGGAAAGTACTCTGGGACAGGAAAGCTGCAGGGGGCTTTCAGACTGTGTTCAGTTGGGTTAGTTAAGGTCCACATACTGTGAGCAGATGGAAGCACCACCATCCTAAACAGCAAAGCGAACCTGGAAAGCACATGGGCCTGGATTCAAGGCCATCTCTCTCACTTACTAGTGAACTTGGCCAAGGAACTTTACCCCTTAGTTCCCTGAACATGCTTTAACTATCACACAGGAATTTTGTGAGGATCAAGTAAGCCCGGGTTAATGTTGCTAGGTAAGCCCTGAATTGCGGTTGCTTTGCAAAGTTAATAAGCGAGAGTGGGCCTTTTTGCTGCCTACCAATAGGTTTCTGTACAAGTTCTCCTAGGAAATGAACTTGGTCTGGCTGGGTTCTAAAATTCAAACTGGAGAAGAGTAGAAAGAATATCCATCCTCAAGGTTGAAAAAAATAGTCTAACCGGCATTCGGATACAACGTGTCTGCTGCGGTCTTAGGTCATGGGCCACTCTTTGCATGGTGACCCTGGCGATCCCTCACCCATGCTTCTTTTCTGGTATTGATGTGATTTTTGAGGCCATTTAGCACTTTTCTAGCTTTTCTTGTTGTTGTGTTATTTATAATTAGAAAGAAAATTCATCAATTTTCTTTCTCTTAAAAAAGAAACAAAAAACACAAACAACCAACCTCTGAGGGTTAGTCAACAAGTATTGCTACCAGGGTCCCAGTTCATGCATGCATGGGTTTATTCCAACCCAAACATGTTTCGACATGTCACTGTTCAGCGGAAAGCCGTAGTCATGTGCTGTCTTTCTTTCACGGTGCCTTCAAACACAAAAAGGTTCGATCAGAATATTGGCTTCCCAAGGTAGCTACTGGACCAGTCAAATTCAAGGCAGCGTGGTCAATGCAGAAGATGATGGCGATCTCGATGGATTTTCTCGAAGGACACAGGTTGGTCATGGGGCTTATTATGCAGAAGTGTTAAGGAAGTTGAAAGCTGCATTGCTGAGGACAAGGACAAGAAATGTGCCAAGAGGAAGGTTGTTTTTTTAATTGTTGTTTTATTTTCCCCATCATGACAATGGACCTGCTCACTCTTTGAGGGTCGCAGGGGCATTCCTGTGAGAATTTCACTGGGAAACCTCACCCCAGCCAGCTTACAGCCCTGGCCTAGGCCTTCAGACTTTTCATTCCCCAGACTTAAAGAACATATCAAAGGGGCACACCTGGAGCCCTCTGAGAAGACCCAATAGCTATTGTGATGGGCTGTGAATTTAAAACTCAGAAAATTTCAGGGAAGGTCTAGAGAGATGGAAACACTGCCTTCAGAAAAGTACAGACCTAGATGGAGGATCTATCTTGAAATAATAGCTTCGCATTTTGATAGCTCGTTTCACAGAGGTTTCTATGACTTTGTAGTCATAGTTTATGAATGAAACTCATATTAATTTATCCTCCCCCCACACATAAAAAATTATAATGAGAAAACTGGCCCCCAAATGCTTCGAAATCATTGGTAAAAGGTGATGATCCAGGAATGGTAAGGCTCATAAGATCAATTCCGCTTGGAAGTCAGTGGGTGGAATTCCCAAGCAGTTTCTGGTTCTAGGTGTCCACCTGCCACTGACCACAGCAGCATGAACCCTGGGCCAAAGGAAAGGGGGCCCTGACACCTCTTCTTCTGAACTTCACCATTGTTTGCTCCCGACCTGATGCTGCCAGGATCGGAACCTGCTAACCACAGTTCATGGAAATACTACAGATCTCAGTGGACATGGCCGCTTCATCACACACCTGGTGGTAGCTAACATGCTCAGTAGTCCCCAAGTGCTGGGTGGAGAGCCAGGTGAACATATATATATATATATATATATATGTTTTAACTGACTTGACACACAAGCCACAAGTAGAGACATTGCCAAAACAACAAGCACAGCTTTCTCTCAGAGTCCCATTGACAACATCCACTCCCTGGTTGCGGGTGGTTTAAGATCTGCCACAAAGCCAAAGCCAAAGCCATGCAGAGCAACCCCCATGTGGGTTTGGCCACCGCAAACACACGAGTGCAGCAGCGGGTGCTCACTTTCGCCCAGCTGCCTCTGCAGCATCTGCAGCTCCTGTTGAGCCTCAGCCAAGGAGAAGCCCGGTGTCTCGGAGCAGCAGGGGAGGGGAGGGCCAGGGGAGCGGAAGGGCAGGAAGCTGGGTGGAGCTGAGGGCAATGGAGCCTGAGGGAAGCTAACCAGCGTGGGCACGGAGTGAAAATGAAAGCCTAGAAGTAGAAACGTGGGGAGAAAAGGAGACACATCGTTAGAGAGAGCGTGGGAGAAGAACGGATAAACGATTAGGAAAGTCAATATTCCCTTCTCAGATGTGTCTTGCGGGGATAGCGGTCACTCAACTTGGGGTGTGTTGAGAAGATACAGGGGGTCATTCCCACACAAGGGGTTGACCTGGCCACCTCTGCTCTGAAATCCTGTATATACTCGTGTAGAAACCGAATTTTTCAGCACTTTTTTTTTCTAGCACATTTTTAATGCAGTTTTTGTGGTAAAATTAGGTGCCTCGGCGGATATTCGGGTAGGCTTTTACTCGAGTATATACGGTAGGTACCACCACCTCCTTCCAAGGTCCACTGGCTAGACAGATGGGGGTGTGGGCCTGTAATGAGCAAGGTGACTGGCAGAGGGGAATGCTTTTTTGCTCCTTGCCTGCAGCCAGACTAAGAGAAACAATTGCCTCTTTTCTTCCCAGAAGGAAATGAGAAAAAGGAGTGAAAATGTTTGTCTTTAAACTGATTAGCCAAGAGACTATAAATAAAAGAATAAAAATAAACTGAATGGCTGGTCAAACACCGACCCAAATTGCTGGGTGGATGGAGGCCCACCTATGAATTCCTTCTTTTCTAAAGGAAAAAAAAATTCCAACTCGGACACACTGTAGAAATTTGGGTAATCTCTTGGTGTTATCTAGGACTTGGTACTCAAAGGCCCTTGGCCATTTAAACATTGGTCCCTGAAGGAAATCAAACAATGGCCAAGGGAGGGCGGGGCGGCTGCACCCTACGGGGCTGCTGCCTACCTGAATGGGCCTTGCTGGTCTCCTGGGGGGGGTTCTGGGGAGTTGGCAAGATGATGGGGCCGCTGCTGGATTCTGCCTGAGCCCCCTGAGATGCACTGTTGGGTGATGGTTTAGAAGACAACACAGCAGAATGACTCGGATGGTGGATGGAATCTAGAAATCCATGAATGAGAGAAAACATGTGGTCCTCACTGCGAGGAGGAGTCTTGGCCTTAGGTTGGGCCAGGGTAACCCAGCCTCTGGTGCTCACAGACAGCTCCACAGGCACGAGGCAAGCTGCTTTAGGGGTGAGAGCTCTGGAACTGTGACAGTGGCAGCCCTAAATGCCAGGCGAGACCAGCAGCATCAGTAGGCTGGCAGGGATACTCAGAGGCCTGCAGGGCGCAGGCCCACTGCAGAGCAGTGAGATGCCCCATCTAAATGAAGGAGGTGGTGCAGGCAGGTGCCGTGAACGCGAGGCAGGGGACAAACAACGAACTATGAGCCCCAGTCCTGTCTTGCCTGGATCCAGACCCATGTGCCCAGGGAGAGGGGCAGAGATGACCTCTAGGGAGAGGAAAACAGCAGACCTCTGACCCACTGGGGCCCCAGCTTGGCACTTGGTTCCAGAGCTCTTCTCAGCATGATACACAGCAAGCTGGATAGATAAGGCCTGGTGACAGAAGTCTCCTCTCAGCCTGGGAAAAAGGTAGTCCCACTCAGAAAGGGCGGCTACCTGAGTGACTGGGCGAAGCTTTCTTCTCTTCATAGTGTGTGTACTCGCTGGCTGTGTCCATGTCAGAGCAGGCTTCTAGCTCATCAGATAGGAAGGACGTGCTGCTGGGAGAACGGGGGCAGTCAGACAAGGCCCGGCTGCTGGAGGGGGTGAGGGACCTGGCATCCAGTTTGGCCTGCAGGACTTCAATCACTTTCTCCTTCTCCTGCAGTTCCCTGCTGAGCCTGGTGGGGAGAAAGGGGGACAATGGGTGAGATCCTAGACCACCTGGACCAACTGCTCCTAACCAAGGCTCATGGGAGAAGCAACATCACCCGCAGGACCACAGGTAGCCATGTGGTCGAAGGCACACTCGGGACTCAGAGAGGCTGTGACTCTGAGCCCATACGTAGTCACTGGCCACCAAAAGCCGAGAGTTGTAGAAAGCTGGCTCTTGCAGCTCTCAGAGTTCTGTAGCATCTAGGCCTCTTTCACTGGGTACTCTCACTGGATTCTTTTATGCCCATGGAAATGAGGGTGCTGCTAACCTAGCCTTCACCCCAATTCTGGACAGACAAACCTTAAAAAATATCTCACCGTGGATGGGCAAGAAAAGGGTGAGGGGAACAGGGCAAGCTACTGGGAGGTTGGATAAAGTGTTTTAAGTGGATGAATGCAAAAATGATGATATGACCGGCAAATCCCCACGTGATTCACAATAAAAAAGTTTGGGGTTATTTTAAGTGCACTCTCTTCTTTAAGCATGTGGAGGGAATGGGAGACCCCTGGGTGTGCTGAGGCCTGGGAAAATCTGGATAGTTCACCTTTAGGTCCGCCTGGCCCTCTGTTGCTGTCTACGGGGAATGGATGTACACACGGGAAGCATCAGAATCGCTTCCAAAGGGAATGAAGTCCTGTCAACCCCACAGCAGGGGGATGGCGTAAAGAAGTCCCTACACTGGGATCGGCACGCGCCTGTTTCTCCCACCGCCTTGGGAAGCTGCTGCCACCTTGGGCCCGTGAGCCCTGATTGCATTAAGGGATGGGGTGTCAGGGTGTCCGTTACCTGAGGGCCAGCGGCTCCAGCCCTGCTTGGTCTTTCTCGCTTTTATGATCCTCTGAAAACCAAAGGCAGAGAGAAACCGTCAGGCCCCACATCTAACACAGGACGCCCAGGCAGGGCCTATCCAGTCACAGGCGGCGGCTGCTGTGAGTGCATCCACGGTTCTTGGCGAGAGCAGCTCAGGGGGGGTCTCGGGTTCCCTCTGGAGAGAAACCACACAGGAGGCTTTTCTGACCTCCCATGACCCGACGATCACCATCTTGCCTTCAGCACAAAAGGGTTGAAGCCTCCTCTGGCCCAAGAACCGCCAAGTTCTGGCCCAGCTGCCCTCTGGACTCTCCCCCACGTCCTACCTCGGCACTGGCTCCCAGAAATGGCTGTGCGTCCCATCATCGCTTTCTTGTCCAACCTGCTGCGGACGACAACCTGCCCCGCCCCATCTCTGCACCCACCACCTGGAAATGGACTGTTCAGCTTGCAGTCGAATCTGGCTGAACGCCCTTGGGAGCCCTAGATAAATAAAGCCCCTCTAAACAAAGGGCTCTGATAATAACCAACAGGCGGGCTACAACCCATTCCTAATCCACATCCCAAGGAGCCGGTGCTTATCAGCATTCCAAGTATATCCGTGTGACGAACAAGGACGTTTGCCACAAACAAAGAGACAAGGACGTTCAAATGACAGCATCCAGTCTGTAGTGTGAGTCTCAGAATTCTTAATGCAGGGCTCTTTTCACTGTAAGAAGATCCGCCCACTTTATCCCCTTTCCTTTTCCTTTCCCGTAGCATTGCATGGGCACTGCTACGTCCCCAGTGCTCACACTACTACTGCATGAGTGATCATGTTTCTACAGCCACGGCATCTCCACCCCTGTGTGCTCCTCCTTCTCACTCCCCGCCAGCCCTCCTGTGACGACGACGCCCGGGAGGTGAAGGAGAAGCAGACCCTTGGGTGGAAAACTGTACGTACCAAGGCAGTGGCCCACTGGGCCTGGGGCTGTAGCAGTGACGGAGAGTATTCCAAACACCTGTGGCCAACTTACTAGTGCGGAGTTTGCTGGTGAGCCTGTCTGCCAACTGGCTTCCCTGGGCGAGCTGCTCCCGAAAGCTCTGCCCCAGGTAGTAGTCAATGTCGTTGCTCCGTAGGAGGTCCTCGAAAGATTTGATGGCATCTTTCACGTGTTGGGTGAGAAGATAGCAGATCCCTCTCCCTTCTCGTATTTTCTGCCGAAGATATGAGAGTTCTCGGGCTTGATCCTGAATCAGGGAATCGTATTTCCTATTGCAGGGAAGAGGAGGGCAGGCAAAGAATAGGAAAGAGCAAATAATAAGGAGGAGGTGCTTCCATAGAAGTTTCTGCAAGAAGCTGCCCAAAGAACTCTCTAAGTTAAATATTGGCGGAGAGGCTACGAAGCGTAAGTAGGAATACATTCTGAGGAAGGACTGCAACAAACGACCTAGGCATGTTTGGCATGTGGCCCAAAACAAGCCACACGTTCTTGGGGGGTAAAGACAGTGACATATTTCCCACCCCTCGCAACAACCAGTCATAGCGGTCCTGTGAGGGAGCCCAGGTGGCCTAGTGGTTACGAGTTGGGCTGCTAATCACAAGGTCAGCAGTTCGAGACTGCCAGTGGTTCTGCAGGAGAAAACAAGGCTTTCTGCTCCTGTAAAGCATTCCTGTCTTGGAAACCCTCAGGGGCAGTTCTACCCGGTCCTATAGGGTTGCTATGAGTCAGGACTGACACAACACTGGGTGTTAGGCATTGGGCAGCTGATCTCAAGAATGGTGTTTCAAACCGTCCAGTGTCTCCACGGAAAGCCCGAGGTGGTCTACCATAAAGATTTACAGTCTTGGAAACTCTATACAACTCTATGAGTTGGTATAGTTTGTCTGGTTTTTTTTTTAACACCAACATAGTGCCATAGGGATCTTACTTCGACACAAAAGCCCCCTGCTTCAACTTTCCCCCACTTTCCTGGGAGTTCCCGTGTCTTCTTTTTTTTTTTAATCATTTTATTGGGGGCTCATACAACTCTTATCACATTCCATCCATTCATCCATTGTGTCAGTCACATTTGCACATTTGTTGCCCTCCTCATTCTCAAAACATTTGCTTTCTACTTGAGCCCTTGGTATCAGCTCCTCATTTTGTCCTCTCCCTCCTTGCTCCCCCTCCCTCATGAACCCTTGATAATTTATAAATTATTATTTTGTCATGTCTTGCACTGGTTGATGTCTCCCTTCACCTACTTTTCTGTGGTCCGTACCCCAGGGAGGGGGTTATATGTAGATCCTTGTAATCGGTTCCCCCTTTTCACCCCACCTTCCCTCTACCCTTCCGGTATGGCCACTCTCACCACTGGTCCTGAAGGGATCATCCGTCCTGGATTCCCTGTGTTTCCAGTTCCTATCTGTACCAGTGTACATCCTCTGGTCTAGCCGGATTTGTAAGGTAGAATTGGGATCATGATAGTGGGAGGGGAGGAAGCATTTAGGAACTAGAGGCCTATACGGAGAACTCCCCTGCACAAGCAAGCGGTCACCATGTCAGGCCCAGTAACTCTCTCCTGGCACAACACTGCCATCTCACGGTTAGGGCTTGCCCTCGATCAGCCCAGTGTGATGCCTTTGACTCCTTGCACTTACCCGGGCCATGAGGCAGACCTCAGCTCCTCGGCCAGCTTCCCCTCCAGCCCAGTTTTCGGGAGCTGGGCCTCCAGTTGTGACACTCTGTGGATGAGACACTCTAGGTCCTTTTTGGCCTGAATTCCTGGGGGATAGAAAGCCCCAGTGCCATCTGAGAGCCACCCCTCATCGTCATCTGTGGCACTATGAGGTGACGACCCCTCGAGGGGGGCAAGGGCCTTCAGCTTTCTGGGTCTTTCCAGACTCGATGAATAATCACTGGTGACCGAGAGGGACCGCACCCGGCTCTTGAGGTTCTGAATGACCCTGTTGGAGTTCTGAAGCTGGGCCTTCAGATCTCGGATGTCCCTCTGGAGGACAGAGATGTCTTCAGACTGTCCGTCTGCCTGGAGCTGTCTGTCCAGGGGCACCTTCCGGGGGGAACTCGTCAGTGCCAAGCCCAGGTGCTCCTGCTCAGAACGCAGCCCCTCCACCAGGCCTGCTTCCCCCAGGTTGTCCTGCTCTTCACACTCTGAGGACAGACAGAAACAGTGACAGCTGGTCACACCGCAGTGCCACTCCCTTCGAAGGGGAGGCAGGCCTAGGCACAAGGACAGTCACAAACAGGGCCAGAGCTCAGCCTCACCACTCACCTTGGCCTCCAACCCCCTTCTTTCTTACCCCAGTAGCCCTGCCAGCCAAGGCCGATCCCCTTCGGTTTGTCTTGGTGGCAAACCAAAGCTCAGAGAGAGAGGCAATCGAACTTGCGCCTGTGCATTCAAGCCAGCGCCTGGCCGAGTCAGAATCCAGTCCCTGCCATGTCTGCCTGCCACAGCCTGAGCCCTTTCCACACACCGCGATGTCTTAGAAGTTGGACGTTCACAAAGAGGGCCACCGGAGCTCTAGACTGTTCCCAACAACTCTAAGTTGAAAACGCTCCCATATTCTAATGACTTAACATGTAGGAGGTTAAAATCTATCTGAGTGAAAACAGCCATGGGAATAAAAAGTCTCAAAGAAATATGAGGGGCCTTCAAAAAGTTAGTGGGAAAATCCCTTTATCTTTTCATTCCATTCTTCTATAAATTATATGAAGACATAACACCTAACAGTGACTTACATGTGGTAAGAATGCGAGCTCATATATAGCGTTTGATCAGGTGTCAGGCACTGTTCTAATGTGTTTTACAGGAATGAACTACCTTTTGACATTAGTATTTGATGGGGTAGGTCATTTCTTGATTATGATTTTAACAGATGAGGAGGCCCAAAGACTTTCATAAACCAGGATTTGAACAACCAATCTGGCTCCTGGCTCTTTGTTTGTAAGCACCACACTGAGCAGCCTTACGGAGTGTGCTTCGAGGGCTCTTCTCCTCTCAGTTTGTCATTGGGCAGGTCGTGCTGACTGTATACCCCCTTCTCTAAGGCAACAACAACAACAACATTAACTGATGGTTTGCTTATGCTCAAAAGCTCATCTGGTCTCTTCATTAATAAGTTGGCCTTCGTATTCTTTAATAATCAATCAGTCAAAACCTTTTTTAAATTAATAGCAGTACGTTGCAAAGTAGCAGTAGTGATTCAAACACACACGCGGGCTCCTTGGAGGCAAGTTCTCCTCCAAACTCTCCATCCTCCCTAGCCCCGAGACCTTTCGTTCTCAGCCCTCGCGGCCCCACACTCATCAGCTGCGGGTGACCCCCAGCACCCAGAGATGGGCACGGACCCCACACCCTGCGCTTTTACCAGGACTGGTGGTCTCCTCCCGCTCAGCCTCATTCTCACTGCGGCCGCACGTCTCATAGCCCAGGTCCTGGAGGTCCACCTGGACCTGTTTGCTGTCCTGCTTCACCATGGACTCGCCTGCTGGGGGAGAGACACAGTGGGTGTCACCGAGCACCTGAAAGTCCAGTAAACACCCTCCACCTCAGGGCCACATACCCTGGCCCTCAGGGGCAGGTGCTGTGGTTCCAAGTAGGATGCAGTAGGATTCTTTGGTCTCACAGGGAGAAGGGATCCTGCTCCAGGTAACAAGACTCCCTTCCACCAGGATGGGCATATATTATTCCCCCCAGAGATAGCCTAGGATCTGTTGGGATCCACGTATTTAAGCCAGGGTTACGTGGTCTCCTCTCTAGCAGTCCTAGAGAAAATGGTTTATCCGCATGGGCAGAGGAAATGTCAGAATTGACTTGAACTGATGTAAGAATCCCAAGACCTGCATGGCCCAATAAGATAGCCACCAGTCACAGGATTTATACTAAATAAAACTCAAAGTTTCTGAGTGCACTAGCCACCTGTCAAGGGCTCAACAGCCACTTGTGACATAGAAATAGGAGATTCCCAACACTGCCAGAAGTTCTCTTGGACAGCATAGGTTCTAGAGCAGTGGTTCTCAACCTGCCTAATGCCACAACCCTTTAATACAGTTCCTCATGTGGTGGTGACCACCCAACCATCAAATTATTTTCGTTGCTACTTCATCACTGTCATTTTGCTACTGTTATGAATTGGGCAACCCCTCTGAAAGGGTCGTTCAACCCCCAAAGGGGTCGCGACCCACAGGTTGAGAACTGTTGACCAAGAATGGTGATCTGCTTTTGTGGAGGCTGGTCTTGTGCAAAGAGGAGAAGAGCAACAGTAGGTGCACCTTAAAAAAGGAAAAGAAGTCTATGAGCTAGAAGCAGAAATCAACACCCATTGACTTGCTAACCACAAGGTCAGTGGTTTGAACCCACCCATTACTGCATGGGATAAAGATGAGGCTGTCTGTCCCCCAAGAGATTCATAGCTTCAGAAACATAAAGGGGCAGTTCTACCCTGTCCTACAGGGCCATTATAAATCGGAATCGGCTTAACGTCAGTGAGCTTGGCCTTGGGTTCCTGCTCTATACTCTTACTGCAAACCTAAAACCTTACTGTTTATTCCCTTACTCTTCACTACCATCGGCAAAATGAAAGTGGACTATTCATTTCCACACCTCTAGGCGCATGGGCAGGAGTGGATTTATTTGTTGGGGGGGGGTAGTGTTGGGAACGAAAGTGAAATCTGTAAAACACGTCGCTTCTCAGGGGGAAGACAGAAGCACTGGTGGTGGTGGGCTTGTAAGACTTACTGTACATGACTCTGTATTTCTCCAGCTGGTTGGCCTGGGCAAAGACGGTGGCCTCTGAGATCAGCAGCTTCTCCTGGAGGTCTTGGTAGTGCTGTCTGCACTGTGCCAGCTGTGAGCGCAGGTGCTTGGCAGACCCCGGGAGGCTAAGTTCTGCCCGAGGGCCGGGCTCACTGGCTTGGGACAGGTTGTCCATCTGTGAAAGAAAGCAGCACTGGTATCAGGCAAGGCAGCGTGGTCCTCCCACATATGCTGAGGGACGCCTTCCTCATCAAACCCTGTGTACGTCCTGACAAGGCATTTCCCACGCCCTTTGGCAGTATTGGCTCCTTGAGCACAGGGGTGATGTTTGTCTCATCTCTGTGCCCACAGTGCATAGCGCAAGACCAATGGTGCATCCTGAACAACTCTCAGTATCACTTAAAGAGAAGTTGCAGACATCTCCATCAGGCTCTCCCTGTGTTCTCTCCCAGGAGCTCTCTCAGAACCATCTGCCTTATCCATCCCACTGAATTCTCAGCAGGTGGCTCCTGACAGATGCCTCTTAGGCCCCGGGGACAGATGCTATAGGTGAGCTTTGCTGAACATGGCAGTGAAAAGGAAGAGGTGCCATTATCCATCATTCCTTGGGTTACCCTCAAACTTGAGGAATCCCTACAGCATGCAGGAAAGCATCGAATCGAAATCAGCTGCTCCTGCGCTACTTTCAGAACCCTGTCGATTGCCTAGAGGGCAGAGGCTGAACCTTACTGCCGCTCTCATCTAGCGGCGAGGACGCTATCGGGAAAGTTACGTACTCAAAACACACCTATGGAATAACGTTGTAAAGACCTTTGAAAGGGCTGACAGTGGGATCAATATTATTATTTTGCTATTTGGGGTGCAAAGATCCCATTCCTCTGTCTCGCCTAAAATCCTCAAGGTAGAGTGTTTGAAGGTAAGAACAGACATCTCTAGCCCGTCAGCAAGGGTCCTTTATTCCAGCTCAGAACACACGTACTTGGTGGGTATCCACTTTGGCAGCCCTAAGGTCAAGGCTCTGGGGTCTGGGGCAGGGCCTCATGGTCCCATCTTCTTCCTCTGGGCGTTGGTGCTTCCCAGAAGCCAAAACCAGCTCTGTGTTCATTCTGTCCATCTCCCTGGCCAGGGCCCCAAGGAACTCTGGGGTAAGTTTACTCTTCCCTTCCTTGCTGCTCAGCACCAGCTGCTCATGGAGGAGGTTGATGATGCTATGGGCATTCCGCAGTTTTCCATGGAGCCTTCTGAACTCAGCCTGAAGGCTAGTCTCATTCAGACCCCCTTTGGCCATCACAGTCTCCACCATCGCCTCGCCCTTCTCCTTGTCTTCCTCCATCTCCCATCCATCAGACATTGCTTCTCCCATCTGTTCTTTCAGCTCTGCGTTCTCAAGGCAAAGGCTCAGCATGGTGTTCCTGTAGGAAACACGAGTAATTAGGGGCCAAGGTCTAGTCTGGGCTGTCACGTGTAACGGTCCCTTTCACAAAAAAGGGCCACCACGACCACTCTGGGAAGCAGTGCCTCAAAACATCAACATCCAGTGACCTGATGATCCAGCAGTTCCTCTTGTAGGCAAACAGCAAAGGCCTTGAAAGCCGGGGCACACACAGACACTGTTCCCCAGTGTTCATCGCGGCATTAGTCACAGCAACCCAAAGTAGGAAACAACCACGGAATCCAGCAACAAGGAATGTGCTGTGAGAAATGTGCTTCATATACACCGTGGAATGCACCACGGATAAATCTTGAACACATTATGCTGAATGTTATGGGTTAAATTATGATGAAAATAACAACAAAGAATTATGTACCCCCCAGACTATGTGTTGTAAGTCTTAGCCGCTATGTCTGTTTTCATTCTCTCGTTTGGGGATGACGATCTTTGTTATGTCAGTGAGGCAGGGTCAGTGTACGGTGTGTCTTAGGTCACTTTCCTTTGATAGACAAAAAGAGGTTAAATAGGCCAGGTGCAGCAGGGATGAGGGAAGACAGATGCCAAGCCACGTGAAGATCACCCAGGGGCAGAATCGGGAGGAGATGAGGATTTTCCTTCAGGGACAACAGAGAAAGAAAGCTTTCCTCTACAGCTGGCACCCTGAATCCCGATGCCCAGCCTCCTAAATGACGCTGAGAAAATGAATTTCTGTTTGTTACAGCCACATGTTTGTGGTGTCTCGATTTGATCAGTAATTACACCAACCGAGACAATGAGTGAAATCAGCCAGTCATGAAAGTATCAACAGTGAATAATCTCACTATAAGGTATACATGGACCAGGCAGTGTTTTGTCGTGCTGTGCTTAGGTTGCAGTGCGTTGGAATTGACTCAACAGCACTTGGCACTGACACCACTATATATCTGTTGGAATTGGAACATGCATAAAGACCCAGCATATGTATTTCCATGGGAGGAGGGAGGAGGAACTAGGAGTGGAGGAGAGAAAGGAGGTGGTGAACTGCTGTGAAAGGTAAAGGAAATTTTAGAAATGCAGAGTCATGAGGATTACACAACATCTGGTTGTGCAAGTAAAAGTTTACTGAAATGACAAATTTTTGTGTTGTATACATGTATACACAATGTGTATCAACATTCACACACACCACAATAAATCAATTAATTCCTTTTTCAAAAAGAGGAAAACTGGACATACTGCTAGAAGATTTCCACCCAGGATTGTCATATGTCTGGCTAATATTGTGTATGCTGCTATCTTTAATTAAGATCAGATTTGCTTCAATAACAAAAGTGATTACCAGTCTCCATTATTATTGATTTTCTCCAAAGAGTATATAGAACCATGGGCATATGGACCAAGAAAGACTCAAAACATTCCAAGTGTCTTGGAGGCAGCAGGGTGAATCCTGTGGCTGGGTTGGCCTGGTCCCTCTGTTGACAGGTCCCTTACCTCTGGTGAGGATGCCCTACCTGATGTGGGACACAGAGGAGAATCCTGCTTCCTCAATTTGAGCCTTTAGCTCCTTCAGTTCCCCCTCGGCTCTCCTTTTCTCCTCTACGTGCTGGTGAATCTCTGCCCGCAGGTGGAGCATCTCCTCCTGGACAGCCCTGTGACTGTCCCCTCCGACAGGGGACGGAGGAGCAGGAGGTGAGTTCTGCAGTTCCACAGCTGCTAGGCTTTTCTCCAAAGCCACTTTGAGGATCTGAAAGGAAAGCACAGTGTGAAGAGGCTAAGTCACTAGAGAAGAACCACAAGGAACAGAAGACTTCAAAGGCAGCCTTTCATGGGAATGAAACAGTTAAACCTAAAACGAGGCCCACCCCAAGTACTCCCTCAGCCAGAGGGCCCCAGAGACTTGTTTGCTTCAGGAGGTCCAGCCCTGCGAGCAGGGGATGTGCTGCCATAGGAAGGCTAAGAAGAAGGCAGATGTGGGGAGGAGAAAGCATTAGCACATGACAAACTAAAGGCACAACTCACCAAGAAAAATAGAAATAGCCCAATTAACATAGGCAAATGATTTTAATAGATGTTTATTCTTGCAAAGAAGGTATTCCAATGGCCAGTAAGCACGTGGAAAATGCTCAACGTCATTCCTCTTTGCTCTTGTTGCTAGGTGCTATATCAAGTTCAGCTCACTGAGACTCCCCCCACCCCCCCACCCCCGCCCCATGGCTACAATCATTATGGAAGCAGATGCCAGGTTTCCCTCCATTGAGAAAAGAAAAATCAGACCACAGTGAGATACCATGTCAGACCCATTAGACGACTATTATCCAAAAGACGGTTGAGTAATAGTGTTGTGGAGAAACGGACTCCCTCATCCATTGCTGGTTGGAATGGAAAACGGTGCAGCTGCTGGGGGAAATTTGGCAGTTCCTTCAAAGGTCACCCATAGAGCCACCATATTATGGAGCGGTAACCGTCCCAGACAGTTGAAAACGTTATGTCCACCCCAACATGCACATGAATGCTCATAGCAGCATTATTCGTAATAGGCAAAAAGTGAACACAATGCAATGTCCAATAACTGATAAATGTATAAGCAAAACATGGTATATCTATGCAATAGAATACAATTTATTCAGTCATAAAAAGGAATGAAGGATTAAAACATATTCCAACATGGATGAACCTGGAAAATGTTACCCTGACTAAAAGAAGTCAGGCACAAAAGACCACATGATTCCATTCGTATAAGATGGCCATAACAGGTACATCCATAAAAACAAAGTAAAGTAGTGTTGGCCAGGGGCTAAAGGATGGGTGAGAATGGAGAGTGGCTGCCAAAGGCTACAGGGCTCCCTTTCAGGGCAATGAAAACAAGCTTTCTGGGATTAGATAGTGATGGGGTTGCACAATCTTGTGAGTGTACTGGAAACCATTTTGGAAGGGTAACATTTCTAGTGTGTACTATAGCTCAATTTTTAAAAATCTGTTCAAATATAACAATGGAAGCAAATAGGGCTTCCACAGGACTGCAGTTTATGATCATTGTAATCCTCCTCTTCCCAAATGGACAAAGTTCCCTGAGAGTCTCTCCATCAGTCAGGAGTTTCATCAGCCCCGCCTGACACCTGAGTCCTGGCCTGTAAAGATACCAGATAGGCTGCAAAGATACTAGAACCCAAAGCCTCAGGCTTTGCCAGGCTCCAAACAGGTAAGTAAGAGAGAAGGCCCTGGGAACTCAAGCCAGAATTACCAGGGGGCAGAGCTACAGGTAGAACTAAACATTGTCTTTCATTGGCGCAGGAGAAGTACCCTACAATTACTGAGCAGGTAACAGAGGCAGCTGCATCCACTAGCACACTTCACTTAGTTACTGCCCGCGTGCTAATGCTGCCAGCCAAACTGTAAAAATCTTAGCAGGATGCGAGGCAAAACCTGTTTCCCAACATCTTTCTTTCTCTTGAAGGTATACTTGAAGCTACTCCTTAAGGTTGTCATTAAACCAGGCCTCATGCTTTTTTCCTCAAATGAGAATTTTCTAACTGAAAGGAAGAAATTCTTATTACTTATTTTATTCTTCTCTCCAGATTTCCCCTCCACGCTTTTAAAAGTGTAGAACTCCAAACTTCAGTTAGATAATCTTCGTGTATAACTCCATGAAGTCTGATCACTATCAGTCGACACACGGTGGTGGCTTGACCATCGCTGTGGCGCTGGAAGCTATGCCACCACATTTCAATCACCAGCTGGTGTCCTGGCGGGTGTGAAGCAGACTGGGCAGCTTTCAGATGACCATCCAGATAAAGACAGACTAGGAAAAAAGGCCTGGGGATCTACTTCCAAAAATCAGCCAATGGAAGCCCAATGGATCACAGCAGAAGATTATTCAATGTCGTGCTGGAAGATGAGCCCCTGAGGTTGGAAGGTGCTCAAAATTCTGTGGCCACAACAGTGGACTTCAATGTACTCATGATCATGAAGATGGTGCAGGAGGGAGCAATCTTGTAGTTGGTTGCACATTAGGGTGGCCAAGAGTCGGAGCTGACTCAAAAATCGCTAATAAGAACAGTATATACGTGATTATTTGAATAGAAGAATTTCTTGCTGGCCTGTCCTGTGTGATTCTTAACACATCACAGTATCATGTTGCCTTTCTTTTCTTGTCTCTCAGTGGCAGCATCTTGGAGGTTCATCTTAGATTAATCTAGACCTCTCAGCTTTCCATCCCAACCCACAGCTATCTATCTTTTCTGTTTTCTCTATAAAGGTTGTGACTTGTATTTGTCATGTGTCAATTTATTTTGGGATATACAGAACGAGGCCCTAATGATCAAAGGCATCAATGAATTTCATGTGCAGCTCCATAAATCATGCAGTGGCCGTGTAATTAGGGATGATTTGGAAAATTAATTCCATGCGTTAGTCTGGGTTGACTAGAGAAACAAATTCAGACACTCATACGTATAAGAAAGAGCTTTATATAAAAGAGTAATTGTACATTAAGAAAACATCCCAGTCCAGTCCAGATCAAGTCCACAAGTACGATATTACCCCATGTGTTGATACTAGCCCATAAATTCCTCTTCAGACTCATGCAACACATGCAATGATGCTGAATGCAGGAAGATCACGGGCCAGTGGGTGAAAAGCCTTGTGGATCCAGTGGCAGTGGAAGCATCTCAGCATTGGCAGGGGTCTTCACATGGCTCCTTCAGCCCCCAGGGCTCTAGGGTAGCTCCATGTGTCTTCTCAACAGGAATGTCTTGTAGGGAGTGTGTTGGCCGCAGGGAGATGAAGCAGAAAGTCTGTGTGTATCTGGCCTCCAGGGAGCTGTTTATCTCCGTGGCACCTCCAAATGAGGTCATCAAGCTGCGACCTGATTGACAGGTTAGACTTCACCCTTCCACAAGTTGACACCCGGTTATGTAACTACCACACCATGCTTTATCCCTTCATTCAAGTTACCAAATTGAACAAGTTGCCCAGAGCAGTTTATATGAATCACTGTTTGATAAGGTCGCTGGGATTAGCACAAAACCATTGATCTTCACTTTTGACCCTTACAAAAGAGTACGCTGACATCTAAGGCATGGGTTTGTGGCAGGCGTGGCCTATGGTGAGGGCGCACCATGGTGTCCAGTGGCACAGCTGTTGGGGCTGGGCAAAGATAAGCACAGGTGGCAGGGAAGAAAGAGATCAGCAGACAATTGCTCAGGTCCTCCAATCACACCTGGGTTTTCTCAGCCTGAGACTTGGGAGGCTCATGGGAACATCTTTCTCTCTGGCTTTGCTGCTGGGCAAAGCTAGGCTGGTGGCCACGGCTGTACGTGGCATTAAGAATTTGTGGCAAAATAAAAGAGGACTGGTTAAAACATCTTTTGAAATGTTATGACCCCACACTATTCATTTAAACGATGGGCTACTTTTCTTTATAAAACCTTTACAACTTACTTCACCAAAATGAACGCCCCCATCAGTTTTAAATACGGGGTGTTTCCCTTTGCTAAGCCTTCAGGGTTCTTTCTGCCCCAAAAGAACACCCAAACACCTGAGAACGCCATGCGTCAGCACTGACTTGACCGCAGGGCTTGTAGACCCACTTTTAAAGTCTCTTCCAGGTACAGTTCATCTTGTCCTGTCAGTTTAACTATGCCTCGCTCACTGCCATGCAATCGAAGCTGACTCAGAGTGACCTACAGCAGGGCAGTCCTGTCCCAGTGAGGTTCCAAGACTATACTTCTTTTTTTTTTTTTAACTATAATTCTTGACAAGAGTAGAAAACTCTGCCTTTCTCCAAAGGAGCAGCTGGTGGTTTCAAACTGCTGACATTGTGGATCAAATCCCAAGGTGTACCCACTATGCCAACAGGACTCCTTTAAATGTACTACTGCTTTAAAATATATATTTTTAAGACTCATGGTATGAGCTGAAAGAATCCACCCAGTCTGATTTCAAAATGAGGAAAATAGAGATCTGGATTTGGGTTTTTGCCCAGATTAATATGCGTTTTCATTTTTTCAGTCTCAAAGGGGGGTTATTTTTACTAGCTAGGCATTACAAATTAAAAAGCTTCGAGTCACCGAGCTCCTGTTAAGGGTCATGGAAAACTTTGGCCACAAGAACGATGGTTGCACAACATGAGGAGCATAATGCCCATGAACTCTACGTGGGAAAGTGTGGAAAAGGCAAAAAATTAAAATGTAAATGCATGACAGGTGACTAAGGAGTTAGTCTTTTATCAATTTTTCTGTTGCCGCCTATGCAAAGCAAGTCTGCCCATTCTTTCCCGGGTCTCTGCTGTGAGTGGGAATCCACGCTGCAGCAGTGGGATTTGCAGTATGTGTGATGGAGTGTGACACCTTTAGATCTATTGCTAATTTCATCTCTGATGTTTCACTTGTTCTGTTTCTTTCCCGGTCTAAATTCAATCTTTTTGTGTGTTGGGTTTCCATTTGCAGATCTTCTATGTGAAGATCTGAGCTATTGTTTGAATATAATTGTTTTGTCTTTACAATGCTGCTTCATATCGTTCACAGTGTAAATATGTTCTCCGGTAGCCCCAAGGCCATAAAAAAAAATCACTTTATTGAAGTTATGACTTAAGACTATTGAATTTACTCTCAATTATATTTGGTTCTTGTTGATTTTTCTCCACTGCAAAAGATCAGTGGAGAAAGGCAAAGGATTTAATTGATTACTCATTTCACAGAAATTTCCTAGTGTTTGTGAGAGATCATATATCTGCTCGAGAATGGAATCATTCCAGAGTTAAATGGAGAAAATCACTATCACCCACCCCACTTCCTGAAATGGGCGAGTCCAAAAGTGATGAGGAAGCAGGTTGGTTTTGGTCAAAATGTGATTCTTGTAAGGAGCACAACTCGGATGTGTCTGTCGGCAGCCATGTACGTCTGCGTGAGCTGCATAGGGAACATGCCAAGAACAGAGTCCTCCTTGCCAGGATACAACCAAGAGGCATGAGTAGCCTAATCATAAGGGATCATTTCCATGGAAACAGACAAACATTTTGAGAATATGGACACAAAAGTTATGGAAAAGCAATCTTTATTTAATTGGCATCATGTGAATAAGACCTTTAAACTTCCCCCAAAGTTGGCATTGGTTTACAATGATTTCACACACCAAGATTCCTCCTATTCAAAAGACTGACTTTCAAAGCAAGGCAATGGAAAGAAAAAATAATGCTTACCCAAGAGAGTCTTCATCCAAAAGGCATACACTTTGTCTCTCATGAGGCAAGGTCCATGTCAAAGATTACCACATATAATCGTGTATAAGCCGAGTTTTTCAGCACATTTGTTATGCAGTTTTTGTGGTAAGATTAGGAGCCTCGGCTGGTATTCTGGTGGGCTTATACTCGAGTATATGCAGTAGTTAATGCAAAATTCACTAAGCAATGTGACAGGGATTGTGAGGGAACTACACAGCCCAGGCTTAGACGGACCTTCTCAAAATGAGGTCTAGTTATTTTTCCCACACTGGGTTACCAGCGGGGGAAAATGCTAAGGAAGAAATGACTTCAGAATGTGGTGTGCTTGTGACTGAGAACTAGAGACAAGGCTTGCACTACCAGAGAAACCGTTTAGACCATGCTAAGGACAAGGCTCTCAAATCGTGTCTCCTGATCATTTATTCTCCATTTCGGTCTGTCCCATTGTAGTAATGACCACCAGGGAGCAGCTGCATCTCCAGCTACTCTGTCTTCGAGTAAGCATTCGTTCACCCTGCAGGTCCAGTTCTCTCTCACCCAAGATCCTCCATGAAAATCAGGAAATGAAGGACGGACACGGAGGTGTGCAGAGTTAAGCCAGTCAAACCTGTTAGCAGCCTCAGAAGCAGTAGTTCAAGCAAAAGGAGAAGGGGAGTCATGCAGGAGCTCATGGGAGAGTCAAGGGGTGCTAACGGCTACAACAAAAAGGGGATCTTGGGAGACAGTAAAGAAACTCTGTTAAGGACCTGAGCTCTCCCCAGTAATTATTGTCTTCGTCAGCTGACGACTGTGTGTGCCAAACCCTGTGGGATTTGCGGGCTGTTCCATGGGCTCTGGCCATTGCTCTATTAGATGTCTTCGTCTCGCCTTATTTGGTGAATGAAGCGGCCAGCTCTGAAAGCTTTGTTTCCCCTTTAGCCCTGTTATGGCTCCACTGAAGTTATCTCTGGAAAAGTCCAACAGTTTTTGCAGAAAGATAGATAGCCATCATCCACCTTCTCCTTAAAGGCTCGAAGAGTCCCAGACAGAGTCCAGCTCTGAGGGGTGATAGCTAAAAGTCACTGGGCGCGACATAGCCATCAGATTTCCAGTGAATCCTGAAGGTTCACTATTGGTGACTTAATCTCTGAGGTCCAAGTCATTCACTCTTGGGCTGGAGAGAGTATGCTTGTTACCGCCATTGACGGTGGGTGGGAACAGAGTTTCAACCTCCAATGCCGAGTTCAGAGGTCTGGCAGGGGCTTGCTCGTGCAGCACCATCTGCGGGTGATCACGTGGTGAAGACCAGGGTAGTTGGTCAGATTCACAACCAAGTTCTCTTTTACGTAATGAGACTTCACCAAGAAAGATCCCCGAGTTGAGAGCACTCAGATCCTCTTGGATTTCTCAGAAAGCTCTCACCCCAAGCAGGTCCTAGGCCCTGTCGTCTCCCCAAGCATCCCTGCGACGACTCCCTGTCTGGTGTGGAGTGTTTCGGCTACAACTCAAGAGGGGAAGTGTCCATTGTCCTGTGGCAAGTAAGAATTCTTTTCAAGCTACAGCTACAGACGGTGAAGGGGGGAGAGGGGGGCAGGGAAAGGGTAAGGGGCAACAGTTGGAGAGACAGAGGAGTACAAACAAAAGGATGGATTGGAGCGAAGAGTGGCGAGAGGATGAGGTTAAGGAGGCAGCTGGGAAGTTCAGGGAAGGGAGAAAACAACTGGAGAGCAGTTGGTATAAAAAGAAATCTTCTGTTCCAGGTCCTTAAGGGCTGCAGGAAACCGTCACACCCCAAAAGGACCGTGCACTGTCCACCCCAGGTGCCCCAGGTGCTGACACTGACTTACTTGCTGGTGGCTGTGGTGCGCAGCCTCCTCCTCAATACTGTCCGTGAACTCCGTGCTCCCGTCTTCGGTGTCGTCCCCTGCGGCTGTACCTGAAAGGAAGTCCAGAAGAGACAGGTGACTCTCTTTACAGATGGCTTGGAGACAGCAGCTAAGATGACATACTTTTTTGCCACCTGTCCCCACGTGCATTGCTCCCTAGCTGGCAGGGACCAGCATGAGCAGCAGAGCCAACAGAATGCGTCAAATCTGTGGGAAAGGCTTCTCCTGGATCACTGGGACTTGCTGCTTACTAACACCCATACCCCAACCCTCAAAACATTAGCTGGCCTATTCCACACAGGTCTCTGCTTCCGGAGATGGCCATCAGTATGGGGGGGGGAGGGAGTCACCCCTTCATCTATTTCCAGATGCCTGGATTCTTCCACGCCTCCCCATTCATGGGCTGTGTGATGTCACCTTTCTTTCTCCTAGCATGGGCCAACCCCTTTCCAACCAGAATGCCAGGTGGGTCACTGGTTTTCTGGAGGCAAGGCCACTCTTGTTGCTCTCACTAATTTTCATTTGGGGGTCAGTAATGCAATGGGGTGAGGAACTCCCTTTTGGGTTCCTAAGTTCTACACCAATCTAGCTAGACAACACTCAAGGCGCAGAAGAGTTTGGCTGTGTCCCAACGCCTTCTTTCAGCTTCCCCTGGAGGCTATCCCGTCTCCTGATCTCTTCCAACTCTTACTAAATGCCATCCACCTTGACCTGCATGACTTCTCATGCTGCTCTGTCCACAGGGGGCTCAATCCCTTCTCTACACCCCAAAGCTGAACTCAGTTACCCTAGGAGACCTAACACTTACACTTTGCCCTGAAGGACAAGTAGCTGCAGTATGTGGTCTGGGCAAAGGTCAAGGAAGAGTTTTGTGCAATGAATGCTATATTCTACGAGGAAGTAACCCCTCACCATCACCCCCAAAATGGATTTTTTTCAAGCTATGTATTTAAATATTTTTAGAAAACCTTATCACCTTCAAAATACTCTTCATTACACTTAATACATTTTTTCAAATCTGCTATTCCATTCTTGGAAACATTTTTCAACCTCATCTGTTTGGATGGCTGAAAGCACCTCCTTTTTTTTTTTCTTCACCTCAACTACATCATCAAATCACTGTCCTTTCATGTCCCTCTTCATTCAAGGAAACAAAAAGAAGTAGCACAGAGAAAGGTCAAGTGAGTAAGGTGTGTGTGGCATGCTGTTCTTTGCCCAAAACTGGCACACTGAGATGGCTGCATGAGCAGGTGCATTATCGTGCTTGCAAAACCAGTCCCTCATCTGCCACAAATCAGGCCATTTTTGTCATATACTGTTACAAAATCTTTTCAGAACCTTTAAATAGAAAGCTTGATTAACTGTTTGATCTGGTGGAAAGAACTCCAAATGCACTACGAGTCAACATTTTCATCTGTTTGGGAAGTTGACGGGCGCCCAGAAGGAGATTTGTCATCAATTGGCATTTTACCTTTTTTGAAATGAGAAAACCACTTGTACACTTAACTTTTTCCCATAAGGCTGTCCTTATAAGCTGTGTTCAGCATCACAACAGTTTTGTGGCATTTTTCCTGAGCAGGACACAAACTTTCTGTTCTCTTAAATCAGCCATCACAAAAAGCGAGGTTCCAGCAAAACTGTTTTTACAAAAAACATTCACTGTAACCAGAGAGAACCTTCCCAGGTGGTGCCACTGGGTGCACTAACTCAGAGTGAGTTGCTCGATGCTTGCCTAGCAGGTAAAAATTCATACTATGAAAACTGCCCATTGGAGTTTTTTTCTGGATTTTTTTTGGGGGGGAGTACCCCTTCATATACCTGGCCAGCCCAATACAGCAGACACTAGTTACATGTGGCTATTAAGTATTTGAAATTGGCTAGGGTAACCAAAGAACGGAAGTGTGAAGGGAAATTAAATCTTTAAATTCCAAAAGCCACATGTGACTAGTGGCTACAGTACTAGAAAACAGAAAGACAGGGCATTGCTCTCTATCCATATCAGATAGCATAGCATGTCCATCTAGTTTTAGAGCAAGACCTGTGCCCCATGTTGTTGATTTCTTCTGACAGTGTAGGCATTCATAATGATTACTTCATGAAACACCAAAGAAAATCTGCTACGACGTCATTATATCTGTCAAAACTTGCCAATGTTGAAAAACTTCAAGAGGGAGTTCTGATCCTGACCTCAGCCACCAATTTGTTAAAACTTCCCTTCTGACAGCTGAGTATGTGGCTTGTCTAAGGTTAGAGCTAGTCACTGACAAGTGCCACATTAGCCATCAGGCTCTAGACTCTCAGGCAGGGGCTTGCTTGGTTCCTTCAGATGATAAATCACAGATCTTCATCTTTGCTTCTACCTCCGAGACCAAAGAATCTGCTCCTGACCTCAGACAAGCCTGGATTGGAGGCTCAAGCAATGAGCATTCACTGCCGTCTGCAGATAGGTGCACAGGGGCTATTTCTAAAACCTACGCTCCTGGGCATCTGCAAGTCAATCGTAAATAATTCCAATGGCCCCAGTTGGTCTCATCAAAGCACTAAAAGATGATAAGCATGCTGTCTAATAGCTTCATAGTATGACTGGTGCCTGGATCCTCACCCCGTGTTTATTTTGGTCCAGGATAGGACCCTGTTCAAAAAAGCTCTGCCCACAAAGAGGCTGCTCTGCCCTCAGCATCCCTAGAGGTCTGTGGCAGACAGTGTGCCACTGGGATTTCTGAGCCATTCGGGGATTTCTCAGAATATTGGTATCATGGAAGGGAATCAACAAAACCCTTAAGCTGTGGTTGCTTTGAAAGTACACCCAGCCAGGATGCCAGACACTCATATAATATAAATATTATGATTACTATGGAAAATCTGGTCCTGTACAACAGCAGAGATCAGAATCTTTTACACTTTTTCCTGCAAGGAAAATGAATCGTCCCATTCTGTGGCTGATTCAGAAAACACACTTTTTAAATATGGTCTCCTTTTTGAGGGGTACAGAGTGCTTCTCTCGTTGAAGACAGTTCAGCTCTATGCGGACCGGGATTCTCATCCTCCACACTGTTCCTGGTGGGTTGTGAGGCCAGGCTGGACCACATTCCAAGAAGATTCCTGTCCTACATTTCAGGAATGATGTATTTGGGGAATAGACGGGGTGACCATCACTTATCATAAAGGCTTTTCTCTAACACACCGGACCCTCCACTTACCTTTGCTATCCCTTCTGACAGGTGGCACATCTGCATCCCTAGGTAGTAGGTCTATCACTTACTGAGGGGCAGGATGCCATGGTTTTGACTTTGTGAGGAGTTGGATGGAGACAGAGCGAGGATACCCGGCTCGCCCCGGGACTGCAACACGGAGTTTGTGTTGCCTTTTTAGCGATCTCACTGCCAGCTGTGAGGGTTGAAAGGCTTAAAGCCTTATAGGTTGTGCAGTCCTTCACCAATGGACTTCGAATGCTGAAAGTTTTTTTTTTTTTCTTCTTTTTTTGTGGGTTTATGTGAGGGATAGCTGAGCATTGAAAACCTTTTGCAGAAAATATGGGAATAAAATGGGTGACCTCCCCCAGGGGGTTTCCGTTTAAGTTGCCACCATTTACATTTCCTTAAAAATGGCAATGAAAGAAATGCTTCGGGGTGGCATGCTACATTTTCATGAGGCAGCAAAAACACTTTTCTCTGGAACTCACTTGGAATGCTGCAGATTTCTAGCTTAAATTAAAGATATCTGCAACCTTAACTGGATGAAGCCTCTGCTTAATTTTTTTAAAATAGATTCTGAAATAAAATGATCTGCCACCTTTGGGTTTTCTGAAGGTACGCATCTGTTCATTCAATTTCAACGTGAGTCTCCGACGAGAGGCGGACATGTAAATGTTGCTTAGAGACTTTCGTTTGAAGCTTCAGTGGTCGTTCACAAGTGTGGTTCTTGCAGATCTACAGGCTCTGAACCAGATAAATCTGAGGTCCTAACATAATGGCCTTTACCTAGATTTTTAAAAAATTATTTCCTACCATTATGTCTGATGCTACCAAGTACCAAATTCACTGCCAGTGACTGGATTTCAACTCATAGTAACCCTCTGGGATTTCCAAGCCTGAAAATCTTGACAGGAATAGAAAGCCTCATCTATCTCCTAAGGGGAGGCTGGTGGTTTCAAACTGCAGACTTTGAGGTTGGGAGCCTACTGCCTAACCCACCATGCCACCAGGGGTCCTTTCTCTAGAGTACACAGAGGCAAGACAACCCCCTAAATAAAATCCTCGGGTGGAAATGTGTGCATTATGCAGGCATGAGGTAGTCTCTGTATCATTAGCTAAATTCCTCTTTTTTGGTGGTTTTGTAAACGCAGGGTGACATGATGCTTAAGAACATCAACTCAGGAGTGAGATGGTCTGGCTTTGAATTCTGCCCCTGCCAATGACTGAGCGACTTGAGGCAAGTCGTGACCTTGCTGAAACACGGTGTCCTTCATCACTTGGGCTTAATGCAGTTGCAGTGACATTTCATGGATTCGCTACTTTCAAAGTGCCTAGACTACTGCTTGGTGCATGGTGCATGCTTAGCAAATGTTACCCAGTACGATCCTTGTTTTATTATTGATGTTGTTGCCAGCAATGTGAAGTGGTCCGTGGCTGGAAGGTTGAAAAAGTTGAAGGTTATGGAAGCTGAATATAGTCAGGAGAGGGACATCGTATACCCGAAGTAATTAGCGGATGATTTTGGTTGATTCCATCTACACTTCTGAATATCTCTTTCCTCGATCAGGAGGCTGGAAATCGTACCCTTTACGCTCCCTGCTTCCCAGCACAGTTAAGAGAGTATGAGCTTGTCCGTAAAGTTCAATGGATGTTTCTGGATAAGGGCTTTACAAACAGGACTTATCATTAAGTTATAATGGCCATAAAACTCCACCATGTAGGAATACGCCTAGAGGGAAATTTACCTATACAATTGTATTTCTATTCTCCAGTGAGGAAATCAAACGGGGTCAGGAGTCAAGACCATCTTTCCCAAACTCTAGAGCTATGTATGATGCGCTCTTTCAGCCTACATT